ATATATATATATATATATATATATATATTATATAGTTTTATTCATGATCTTACTTTTTGTTAAATTATATGTTACTCTATACATCTTTTTTGTAAATGAGAACATTATTTTATAATTAGAGAAAAAGAGAGAATAGAAAGGAAAGATAGACGATCTTGATAATAGGTTTTAAGTCATGTTAAATCCATTTCGAAAGAATAAAAAAGTAGAGAAAAATTGCATGAATTAAAAGGTAGAATCTTTGATTTCTACCCTTTTTCTTTTAATAAAGTTTCAAAGAAATTTTTTCCATATATATATTATTTATTATATTTATTATCTTTTTTTAAATAAATAAATATATGTATATAAATATTAAAATTTTAAAATTAATAATAAAAAAAATAAATTATATATATTTTTAAATTTTTATATAATATATTTTTTTAAATTAAAATAAAAAACTAAACTATATATATATATATATATATATATATATATATATATATATTTATATATCTTCTTTCTCTTTCTCTTTCTCTCATGTTTTTTATCCATCTTTCTTTCCCTTGTTATTTTATTCGCAGTTTAATCAATTTTTTGTTCTTTTCTCTCTGAACGATTTTTATATTTTTATATATATATTCTATATATTCTAATTTTTAATTAATATTTTATTTATATATTTTCGTAAAAATTAGTTAAAAAGTTCATGGGTTTGTTATCGACTATTACAGCAATTAAGGTAAATATCGATTTAACAAAACAGATGGTCGATTTATTTTCTTATTGTTCTCTTTCCATCTTTTTCTTTGATATTCCTCACTGTCTCTCTCTCTCTCTCTCTCTCTCTCTCTCTCTCTCTTTCTCTCTTTTTCTATAGACAGAAAATAATTATGATTCCTTTAGTCGTTCTTATTCTCGTTATTTCTCTCAATCGTATTTAAACATAGTTTTATTCAGAAGAAAAGTTAAAATAAAAAGAAAATTTATTTATTCGGGAAAAATTTAAAAGAGTAATTGGACCCGTTAAGTAGTTTAAACCTAAACATAGTCAGACTTATAAGTCTAGATTCGATATTATAATTCGGATTTATTTAATATTGCAAAATTTTGTATTTTTTAGTTAAATTAAACATTTAAAAATAGTATCGGACTTATTATAATATAATTTTATACTTTGAATTGAGATTCCTGAAACATAGTAAAACTTACAAATCTAGATACGACACTTCCATCTTTGTAAACTTTGCAAAATTTGTTATTTTTTGTAAAAATAAAAATGTTACAATAGTGTTGAACTTATTATAATGCAATTTTATACTTTGAATTATAATTCTCGAAACATAATCAGACCTACAAATCTAAATACGACACGTCCACATTTGTAAACCTTGCAAAACTTTTTATTTTTTGGTTAAACTAAACATTTTAATATAATATCGGACTTATTATAATATAATTTTATACTTGGAATTGTAATTCTCGAACTTTTGAAACAAAAATTTATTCTCAAAAATATGATTTCAGTAACTCTCTGTTAAAATTTTGTATTTTAATTAAAATTCGTTGTAAATATTTGAATAAGAGGTATTTTTTCCGAATTAAATATTAGAAACTATCGTAAATTTTAACAACAGAGAATATAATCCTACCAACACAAGTATTATACACATTCTGATCGTCATGAAAATTCAAACTCTTCTCGTTTCGAAATCAAATTCCAAACCGAATGTTAGCATTATCATAGTTTATTTAACATATTTCTGTTTACTCGTTTCACGTTAATATCAAGAGAGATAAAGAGAATAAGAAAAATATTTCTGAAATATTAGAAATAATTTATTTTTTTTAAGGAGACTATAAGAAATTATTAATTATTTAATTATAAATAAAATAGTTCTTTTATTTGTAAGTAACTTCCCACGTGACTTACGACCAATACGGGTTAACAAACGTTATTTAAAGTTAACAGAAAAAAATAATTCATCGAATTTATTATTTCAAGCTTGAAAAGCTTCATTTTCAACTTACAAAGAAAATGATAGTTGAAAGAGAAAGATAAGAAAAAACAAAACAAAAATCACGTTATTTTTAAAAGCAACAAAAGAAATGAAAAATTAGAGACAATAAAAAATAAAAAATAAGACAAAAATTAGTCGTGTTTATTTAACTAAAAAAAACCCGTGATCTTGGACGCGCTGGTCAAAGTGCCGGATAAATTGTCGGAAGTCCTGGGGGATGTTCTGGAGTTAGCATGCGGCGGCGGCGGCGGCGGCGGCGGCGGCGGAGGAGGTGGAGGTGTGGGTGGAGGTGGAGGTGGAGCTAGAAGTCGAAGTGGTTCTGGTAATACTGGTACTACTACTACGGAAAAAAGTACGAGTGGTGGTGGAAGTGCGACGAGTAAAATCGGAATGGTCACGGGAGTAGCCATCATCAGGGAAAAATGGGCTCAAAGGGGAAGCAGGCCACCACTTTCGAGTGTTGCCAACACTGACAGTGCTGACAGCACTACTTCTACCAGCTCAGAGGTCAGTTTTTTTTCTTTTTTACATTACAAATTCTTTTTCGTTTTTTTTTCTTTCTTTAACATCAATTCTGTCAATTTTTTCGACAGAATTTTTTTCAGAAATGATTTACATGTTTTTTTTTTTTTTTGTAACAATTCATTAATCGAGAAACAGATTCATTATTATTATTAAATCCCCACCGTCACCCCCTGTTACATATATGCACGAACTACGAGAAAAAGGGATGAGTATTAAAGAAAGAAAAAAAAAGTAATGAAAAGGAAAAAAGGGTACTGCTGCGAGGGAGACTTCACAAGGGTGAACTTTGAATCCCTTTGAAAAGCTTTTTCCCCATAGTTTCAATATCACTGCTATATCGACGTTCGGTCGAAATGTCAATGAAAGATACTTCAAATCAAATTCTGATGAATCGTTTGATATTTAATAAGAAAGCCGACTATGATACACGTTAGATTTATTTTATTTCCGAAAAACCTTAGGTGTCTACCACTAAACGACTCCCATATATATATATATATATATGATTATTATTCATAATATTTCATAAATAATATATTCATAATATTTGTTTAAAAACAATTATTAATAATCATAGAGAAATATTATTATCGTATATGTTTACGATTATTATTCATAATATTTATAAATAATAATACATAAAATTATAATAATAATAATTATTATTATTATTATTATTATATATATAATATTATTATTATTAGTATAATATAATTATTATTTAATACTGTAATAATATATATTATACAGGGTGGGGCAATATCTCTGCCCAGTTAGAATATTGTCGTTGTTTATAACAATATGAAAAATTTTATATATGCAACTTACACGGCATGATGTGAGGCATTATTTGGCTTGAACGTTTTTTGCGTGGGTGGAGGTATAGAAGAGATTTCAAGGTCATCTGCATTTTTTTAAATGAATATTATATTGTTTTTTAATGGGATGTGATGGCAAATGTTGAGACGAATTCAACGAGCTATTATTCAAGGTCATGCGAGGTCAAATGTGGTAGAAAATAAAGTTTCTTACATTACAGAAGATGTTCAAAGTGGTGACCGTTAACGCCAATGCAAAGTTGTAATCTTCGTATTGCTGCATCGCGTACATGTCTTATCATTTCTAAGCTTATCTTATACATGTTGCAAATATTCTTTCTTTCATGTTTTCTGGTGTAGTGGATGCTTCTTGGTAAAGCGCATTTTTCAATGCTCTCCATAAAAACAAATTTAGTGGGGTTAAATCGGGAGAGCAAGCTGGCCAAGAAACTACTCCTCCACGTCCTATCCATTTATTTGGATAAAATTCATTCAGTGCATCTCTTACACTCCGCGCATAATGTGCTGGACATCCGTCGTGCTGTAACCACATAATTTGGCAAAAGTTTAGTGGTACTTTTTCTAATAAAGTCCCCAATTGATAGTTGCAACATGTAATAAGATAAGTTTAGAAATGATAAAACATGTACGCGATGCAGCAATACGAAGATTACAACTTTGCATTGGCGTTAACGGTCACCACTTCGAACATCTTCTGTAATGTAAGAAACTTTATTTTCTACCACATTTGACCTCGCATGACCTTGAATAATAGCTCGTTGAATTCGTCTCAACATTTGCCATCACATCCCATTAAAAAACAATATAATATTCATTTAAAAAAATGCAGATAACCTTGAAATCTCTTCTATACCTTCACCCACGCAAAAAACGTTCAAGCCAAAAAATGCCTCACATCATGCCGTGTAAGTTGCATATATAAAATTTTTCATATTGTTATAAACAACGACAATATTCTAACTGGACAGAGATATTGCCCCACCCTGTATATACGGAATTTTTTTCTGCTCGAAAGATAGGCAACCCGTCATACATACGTGTATAAACAGTTTTGACTGGAAAAAAATTCCGTCCCAGTAGATGGCACTCGCAAGCATCATTTTCAAAGTGTGTCTGGTGGGTTGCATACGAACTGACGCGCATTTTTATAATTAAATTATTAATTAAATAAATAATTACAAATTAAAAGTACAAAAAATATTATAATAATATTATATAATAAATTATCCTCCAAACTTGTTTATTTGAAGGTCTCACTTTTAACTTGTGTGATATGCACACATGTTTTTTTATTATTTTTAGGAAAATGAA